TCTTGACAGTTCTAATTTCCGGAAGAATTGAACTCACTTAACAGGTTATTGCTTACTTAATGTGAAGAAGTTTTAATTGCAAAGAAATTGAGGGAAAGAAAGGAATAAAAGATTGGATCAATTTTTTTTAAATAAAAATGCATTTTAACGAATTTATATTACATTTTACGTAATTTCAATTCAATGCTAAACTAGATCTATTCTTCAGAATATTCCTTAGAATAGAATAGATAAAAGTGTTGACTGTTTTGTTCAGAACCATATTCACTGGAAAGAAAGGAAAATAGAAGATAATTGTTTAAACGCTGAAAGCAATGAAAAATGCAATAAAATGGCGCTTTATCATAAATCAAATATTACTTAGAAAGTATCCCCTGCTATTTCCTATGCTTTCTACTAATTTTATATCGAAACGAAAAGCTTCGATTCAAGATTATCACTAGAATCGAAGAGCTGTAGGCATTTTATATCTAAAATCGGATCTATCTTAAAATCGAAGTGTTTTACGATTTTAAGATATTTTAAAGATATTCTAAATTACATACTTTCTAAGTATTTAGAAAGCAACTATCTAAATCAATTCGCTCAAATGTTGATCTCATAACCTAAAATAAATGACAATCTTTCCTAGTTTCCCCTAGATTTTCTTGACCACGTGATTTTATATTCCCTGTCTCAATATGAAATATAACAATATTAATAAAATATTAATCCGATCCCAGTTAATCCAATCGAATTAATATTGATAAAAATATATAACTTTTTACAACCTTAATAACTTATAACCTATAATACATTATAAAAATACTTTTCAAAACTCTTCAAATTGAAAACTCTTCAAAAAATAAAGTTCGATCGATCGTCCGACTCGCTTCGCTTTTTTCAATTTCAAGGAAAAGAAAAAAAAAAAAAACAGAAGGAAAAATTACTCCGTCCCAACGTTCATAGCCCGACAAGAAGAGAGCTGGATCCACGATCGAAGATTCAGTATACTTTAATCGCATCTCGCGTTAGCCATCAGCCTCCCCTTGAACAGCAGCACCGAGTTTCGATTGACGCTAATCTCTGGTATCGACGGTGCCCGGTGCGATTACTACATCGTCGCGGGACAAGCGTGCAGGGACGGGCATTGGACGGGCCCCGTTTAATCGCGGCTCCGGGCCGCGAAAGAGAAAATGGCCGAGGTGGTAATGGCTAGCTCCGGAAGCTGGCCGATCGGTTCCAGATAGGGAACCCCCTCCCCGAGGGGGGAGGGGAGGGGGCGATGGAACGAAGGGACCGAAGCGTTGCGGCGCACACTCTCGCCTCGCTCTCGCGTGGACGACGCGTCGATGAAGGGGAAGGCGAGCGAGCGAGCGAGCTAGCTCGTCGCGTTCCCTCGAATAATCTCGAAGCGAGCGGATATCTAAACGAGGACCTTGAAGCGAGCCCGCGGGCGATGCACGCGTACATATGTACGCTCGCTTCGAAGCGGACGTATGGAAGTCGAGTGGCTCGCCGAGTGATATATATCGGCCGCGATATATCGCTCTCCCGATGCCACGACTCGATCTTCGGCCCATAGCGGTCGCTACGGATAGAGAGAGAGAGAGAGAGAGAATGAGAGAGAGAGAGAGTGAGAAAGAGGCGAGTCGGGAAGAGGTGGCGGCCTCTCCTCCGCGCCACGCACTCTCGTTGCAAACAACAAACGCGCCACCACGCCCTCGTGAAACAATGTGATGGTTAACCTAACAAGCTCTCATCCGTGCTCGAGCGTGCTGCTCCTACCACCCTACCGTGCACGGTTGCGGAGACGAGGTTAGGTCGCCACGCGGAGAGACGCCTAGGGCAACACTTTCAGGACACCGGCGATATTCCGCGGCGATAACGATGTTGCGACGTAGTCAATGCGAGTCAATGCGTGGTGGGATCGCGAGGTTATGGCGTTAAATGCGGACCAGTTTCAGCAAGGAGTTTCGTTAGGGAGTTGCTTCGATTTTCCTTTTTCTTTGATGTTGCGCTGATGGGATACGTTACGGGGCAAGTGGAGGTTAGGTGGAGGAAGATGGAAGAGGAGTTTGGAAAGGTGTAAAGGTGGCGTGTAGGATATATTGTACGTTGATCTTGAATTTTCAGAAATTACTGTGAATTATATTAATTGATAAGGGTAACAGATGGGAGTAAAATTAAAAATTGAAAATATTTAAGTTAAAAAGCAGGTAGGAAGGAAACGAGGTTTTAACTTGAAGGAATAATAAATTCTATTGGGCGTAAAATATCTCATTTTTCTTTCTCGGGTGATAAAACGAATCGCTTGACAGGCGAAGCCTATCCTATCGTATAACAATTTCTGAAAACAGTTGAATCGGTGATCGTCACGTTTGAAGGTACACGCAATTGTTCTGAAACCGCATCCATATCCGCTCGGGGATGGAACAAGGCATTCTTGTCTCGTTTTATCGATATACTGTCCACCTAGACGAAACGTAACTCCGTACAGCTAGAGACGTAAAGAAAGACGTAGTTAGACAGCGTACGACGTTCCCGGACGACGAGTCGGGAGACAATCTGCCATCGGGTTTGTAACCGTGGATCGGTGGAAACGCCTGGAATTCAATACCCTTCTGTTCCTTCGCTGAATCCAAATATGGAACTCGGCAACGACCTTTGTAGGAAGCCATAGTCGGCACACGAGAAACACGAAAGTACCGCGTCTGCCTTTTGTCCGAACATCGATGAAATCTAAATGGACGAATCACTTTTCTTTTTTATTTTTATTTCTCTTTCATCGTCGTATCCTTCTTCATTTGTATTGTACCACAAGTTTGAATTTTCATCGAAAATAAAAACATAGATCCCCCTAGAAAATTCTCGAAGCCTCGGAAAAAAAGAAAGAAAAAGAAAGAAAACAAAATATCTACCCAATTCTCAAGCTTCTCTCCCAAATCAAAACACTCTCCAAACCGAATCACGTTTCATCGTCGTCATCATCATCATTATCATCATCATCATCATCATCATCATCATCATCATCCTCATCCTCGCCGCTCGAACATCACGCCCGAAAGAAAAACCCAATTCATCAGAGGTCGAAAAAATACCCATTCCCATCGAGCCAAATCGAATCGCATCATTTTCGTCTCATCATCGCCGCGTCCCGGACGAGGGAAACGAGCCGTTCCCCTCGAAAGCGACGAAAGGAACCGTACCCATGCCGAAACGACAGGTTACCTCTTCGAAAGGCAAAGGTGCGCGCACCACCTTCGTTCTCGAGGTCCTCCGTTCGATTCCTACTCCTCCAGGTCCTAGGCTGATATCATCCTACCCACAACGACCGCCACCACCGTCGCCTCGCTCCGCGTACCACCACCACCGGTTACCTTTTGTCCACCACCACTTGGCCCGGCTACCACCTCCTTGTTCGCAGGCAGCGCGGGGCACCTCGCCATGTGACTGATTCCCCTTCTCCGCAGGTTGACGAGCGGTGGGCCTGCCTACCTGCCGCCCGTTGCCCCGCTCCCATTACGACGCGGACTCTCGCGGCAGGTGCACCAACCTAAGTGCCACTCCGCTTACCTGTGTGTCGTGCCTACCAAGCCAGCGTGTCCGGTGGTCAGGTTCTTCCCTCTCTCTCTCTCTCCCTCCCTCTCCCTTTCTCTTTCTCTCTCTCTTTCCTCCTCTCTTTCTCTCTTTCCTCTCTCTCTCTCTCTCTCTCTCTCTCTCTCTCTTTCTCTCTCTTTCTCTCTTCCTCTCCTTCTCTCTCTTTCTCTCTTCCTCTCCTTCTCTCTCTCTCTCTCTCTCTCTCTCTCTCTCACCCTTTCTCTCCCGCGTGTGTCTCCTCTTTCTCACCCCCTACCAAGCTTCGTCCTTCTCCCTCTGTCTTCCTCTGTCCCCTTCGACGTCGCCTCACGCAGCAGTGCGGTGTTGTAGTGTCGTGTCATCCTGCGCTACGTCAACGATCCTCCCGAACGTGTGTCGAGGCAACGATCGATCGATCGCGTATCCTCTCTTTGACTGTCCGTCGCTACCTGGCGCGCCCGTACATAAAATATCTTCCCTCGGCGATATATACCCTCCGCCACGAGAAGTTCTAGTTTCGTCCTTAGTGCGCCTCTGGTTGGGAAACGTACTCGACCGTTTTTCTCGCCACCTCTGCCCTCTGTACTTGCTTGCGGTTGAGACACGTTGTTGCCGTCTTGTGGTGGCCGTCGTTCGTCCCGTTCGTGCTCGAGTCTCGGAGAAAGGAAGAAAGGAACGGAAGAAAACTTGAAAAAAAAAGAGAAAGAAAGAAAGAAAGAAAGAAAGGGAAAAAGAAAGAAAAACGGAATAAAAAAAGAAGAGAAAAGAAAAGGTGGTTGGAAGGAAGGAAGATCTCGTTTCACTCGGAGGCTCGGACTCGACGTTTCCGCGTGTGTAAACAATCGTGTGGAAACAACGATCGGGCGAAGGCGAGGAGGAGCAGAGCGCGTATTCGAGAGGTGTTCGCCACGCGACAGCATAGACCAGTTGGCCGCCGCGTCAGTCGAGGATCGGACGACGATCGTCGACGATCGCCGCGCCAAGTTTTCCCACGCAGAGTTTTTTTTTTTTTTTTTTACCGTCGCGAGTGCCAGTGCCAGTTTGGGTATCAAACTCCTCGAAACTCCACGAGGATCAGTGACGTCGTACGAGGGAGCACTACGAGACTACTGGCTCTGGTGGACGACCCCAGCCAAGGGGGGACACCCGGTGAACGTGTCAAAACGTCCGCCGCCGCGACTCCTCCATTGACATTTCCGTGACATTTAGTGCGCGACCGCGCGCCAGCCTTGCGATTCGAGGCGACGAGCCTCGTCTTTTTCGTCGTAACACGCGTCATCGGAAACGGAGAGAGAGAGAGAGAGAGAGAGAGAAAGAGAGAGAAAGAGAGATCCTTGGATCCACGGTCTGAAGCCCACACAGTGTTCGGAAAAATCGCCAGGTTAAACGTCACGTCACGTTACGTTTCTTCTTCTTTTTTTTTTTTTTTTTTTTTTTTTTTCTTCTCCAACGTAACAATCTCACTCACACTCCTCGATGACGAATCCTCTTCCGTGCTTTATCGACACGCGCGTCTTATCCGTGCTTGTTATTATTATCCGCCGTTTGGAACCGGCCGCTGGACGCTCGACTCGTCGATAAAAGAGAGAAGGAAAAAGAAAAAATAAATAAACGGTCCTCTCGACCATCTTTCTTCGCGCTCTCACCACCACCTGGTCGAGAGAGTGATCGCCTGTTCGCGAGCCGTGCGTGATCAAGATCTGACGTTCAACAGGTGGTTCGGTATATTGCATCGCGGTTTTGGTGGACGAGTTGGGGGTAGATTGGGGTTGGTTTCGAGCTGTATACACGGAAGGTATACGGAAGAAGGTTTGTGAAGAAGGTTTCGTTCGACCGGAGGGAGTCGAGGGGGTTGATTGTTCGCCGGAAGGGAAGTTGGCCGGGTTCCGAATCAAACTGGACATACTCACCGCCACGTCGGGACGTACGGAGTCGTGGAGATGTCCGCGGGTCGCTGAGAGAATGAGGGAGCTGGACACCGAGAGCCCTGTTGTCTGGCCGGCCTGGTGTTACACTGGTGAGTCGATTGTCGAACATTTCTTCTTGGCTACGAAAGAATTCTTTCTTGGGAGGGATTCGATGGTAATGTGTATTTTTTGGGAAAGTTTGTGAAGTGTGATCGAGGTTTTTCGTTTTTCATTTTTTTTTTTTCGAATTTTTGTTAAAGAAACGAAGAAGAAGAAGTAGTTGTTTCGAGGTTTCGAAGTTTCTGATCGGTAGATTTTTTTGAATCGTTTGTAAGAAATATTTAGGAAGAGGAAAAGAATGTTTTAAATTCTGCTATTAAAAGGTTCGTGAATCTGGTGGAAATTTCTATCTCGACTCCCGTTGAAATTATTGAACCGATAAAATACGGGAAAGCGGATTTTCTAAATATCTTTAGATATGATCTATTGTGTCGTTTGACATTTTATCCGTAGGAAACGAGTAATTATTCGAAACGTGTATAATTTCTTTTTATAAGAATATTCACCTTGAACCCAACTCGTAAGAATATTTAAAGAGAGAAAGAGTTATCGAGTTAATCGTTTCGATGTTAAATCTTTAATCGATCGATCTCTCGTAACGAGAATAACATTTTGAAAAATCCCTAGGATTGTTCTCTAATTTTAAAATAAAATTATCCAATAAAGGAAAATAGTTCGCTTTAACGAAGTAATAAACAAAATTACTTCTTTCTACAGATAATTAATAACAAGCTTTTAAATCGAAATCTCGCGACATTTGTAATTTTATTAGCAAATATTAATAAAACGGGGAACATTATTGTTTTTCTTTTTATCCGTTCTACTTGAATAAATCATCTTGATTATTTATTTTATTCTTTGATCGAGTCATACAAATGTGCGTAATAATACTAGGCATAAATTCCGCGAAAGGAATGTTCTCAATTGTTGACAGTTTTTAACGATAACTTTTTTAAAAAAATCTCTATTCCTCGAACATTGTTGATGTTTCTTTCCTTTCGACACATCTGTTCGATATATTTGTACGACATTATATCGTTTGCAAACGTCGTCAACTAAGCGTCTCACGTCCAAAATATTTATCCTGCTGTCGTTGCCATTCATCGTCAAACTTCCATTCAGGTAACACTTTCCATAGATTACGATAATTGTCCAACGTGATAACGAGTGGTATAATGGCCGCAATTTGCCTATATATCGTTGTTTCAAAAATTTCCAAGCATAAATAGCTCTTTCTAATCACAAATGCAAATATGCAAATACTCATCGTGTCCCATTATTATTGTACGATATTTATTTTTATTTTATAACTTCTTTTTTTTTCTTCTTTCCTTAACATCCATGATTTTTCAATTTATTTTTCGATAAAAAACGAATTACAACTTTTCATCGATCGAAGTAATCCCTTTTTCCAGAACAAAGAATACAATTTAATTGATTAACAAAATTAATATAATAAAAATAAAACTTTTCACGATATCTCTATCATCGTGATGAATGTTTTTAAAATTATAAAATTAAATATTTAAATGTATTCGTATCTTTTTTTCTTTTTTTTTTTTTTTTTCTAAATTTTAACGGAACAACGGAATAATTTTTCGCGGAGAAAAGACATCGATTTCTTCGAAATTAGCGATAATAATTTAATCGGCGTCACAATTATTCAGATAATGGCGAAATATTGTTTCGAGGTCATGAATCGTTCTCTCATGGTCGGCGTTCACCGGTCTAATCAGCGGTACGTGTTGATAGCGGACAAAATTCTATCGAGCTTGTTGTAATAGGATGCCATTCGCGGTGACGAGTTGCGGGAAGTTATGAAACACGTGTACACAGCCGAAGTAGGCGGTTACTCTTCGTTGCTGGAATTCGTACGCTCGATGTATGTATTCTGCCGACTGTTCACAAATTCAATTGTGACGTACGTGGGGAACAAACACGTCTCCTCGATAAGAAATCTCGAATTATGTTCCTATGATACATGTATTGGAATATTACGTAATATTGAACGATAACGATATTCGATAGCCTGATTCTTCAATGAATAATATGAAATTGCGCGAAGTTGATAGACCGAGTGAAAATTCGACGGGTCGAATTTCTTTTTCTCTTCGTATAAAATATCCTTCCAACTCGGAACACTCGGTCTCGTTTACGTGTGTAAATGTTGGATCGGTTCCTCGATCATTGCATACACGCAAATCTTAATCTCCTCTTCATTATCTCTCATTCATCGTAATCAATTCACGAAATAATCTAAACGCATCATTTTGAAGAAGAAATTCCAAAACTCGAAAAATTCTTCCTCTTCATTATCTCTTATTCACTATAATCAATTCACCCCCCCTCCTCGAAATAATCTAAACGCACACCATTTTGAAGAAGAAATTCCAAAACTCGAAAAATCCTTCCAATATTTCTCCACTTCCCTAAACAAACCAGCCGGTTTAATCCCACCTCCCCCCCTCTCAGGAAATTCCATTTACACTCCTCTCTTCGAACACGCGTTTTATCTTCGCCCTATCACCGATGGAAGTTCATCCAAAAACGAGCCAGACGATATTTTCGGTGCCCTTACGCCATAAAACGGTCCCTCCTCCCCCTCTAAGCATCTTAAAAGGGTGTCTCAAAAGAGAGAGAAAAAGAGACAGAAAGAGAGAGAGAGAGAGAGAGAGAGAGAGAGAGAGAGAGAGAGAGAGAGAGAGAGAGAGAGTAACGAGGAGAAGGAGTGAATGGAAGATGGAGTCGGGGGGGGGAGGGGGGGAACTAATGTCGAAGTGTGTAATTACGGTTCTCGATCTTGACAATTAGGAGGCCGTGGAAGCTGTCGGTAGCGAATAGGCTGCCACTTAGCTGCCGAAATTCCCAACAGCCTTATCTTGGCGAATCGGGCTCGGTTATTCGTCGGGCTCTTCTAATTAAGAGGGGCCCCGCTGATTTTTCTTTTTTCTTCTTCTTCTTCTTCTTCCCTACGAAATTGCTCCCCGGACGACTATTCTATAGACAGTTGGACGACGTTTTGTCGCGAAATTGCCTAATTTCCTTTTTCTTCTTCTCCTTTCTTTTCTTCTCTTTTCTTCTCTTTTCCCCAAAAGGGGCTGTTTTCGCTTTGTTTCTTTCAAATGCGATATCGCTTTTCGTTCGAACGCAGCGTTTTTTTAAAGTATGTTTATAGAGAGATTAAAAAGATATTTGGTTTATGATTTGTTAAGATTTTATTCGATTTTATCAGAATTTTAAGATATTCATGTATGGTAAAATGATGCGGATACGTTATTATTTATTGTATTTTTATTTTTTTTTTCTCTCTTTGCGAAATTATTTAATTAATATGTGTAATTATTATGCATAGTTCTTTTTTTTTCGAAATGAAATCATGTTATTTCGGTTATTGGTTATTAATTTATGACAATCTATATTTTAATATTTTGTGCAATCTTCATATATTATCATTTTCGTTCAATTATAGATAATGATTATCTTTTCTTACTGGAGAAGGACATTTTTATCGGTATATTTAATAAGAAATATGATAAAAAACTGCTACACAATACGAATGATCGTAATTTTTCGAGAAACTTAACTGCAATATAATATCGGCATCTGTAAAAAAATTTCAAAATTTTATCGAAACATGAACCTTCAAGAATAATCACAATTCAAATCTACACTCGAATCTGCAAAAATTCAAGTAGAAAATTCAAAAGCTGTAGCTTTTGACATCAGCGCCATCTGCAAAATTTCTTCGTTAATTCCTCAATTTCATCACTCGAAATTCTAACGTTAATAATTCGTCTCAGAATTGAAACTCCTCACAATTTAAACACACTTTTCCACTCACGCGAAAGATCCGATTCACCATGGATCAACACGGTCCAACCGGCGACGTATCGAAGATGATGATGATGATGATGATGGTGATGGAACGTGTTGTCATTTGCATGTGGCCCACGTGTCGCGGGTCCCGTTCCTCGCGGAGCGCGCCACAATGGCGGCGGCAATCAGACGCTTTTTCACAGGGAATACATTATCTTTCGACCAGTTGATGCGCCTTCAAGTTAACCAGCGCAAATTGTGATTTGGCGACAGCCGAGACCACGCGGAACGAATCCGCGAGATTCGATGTAACGGCGAAGTAATGGCGTACGCACGAGCCAGCTCGGCCGCTAATGGGATTAATGCTCGTTCTGGACGATTATGTGTAAATATGGACACCGTTCCTCGGTTTATGATCGTTGCAATTTAGCGATCTTTCGGGTCGGGAACGAAAAGGGGGAAAGGTTTTCGAAAAGTTTTAAACTCGATCTGATGAAAATTTGACGATCTGATGAATTTGACGAAGAATCGGTAGGACTTTTTTTTTTTGTTTTCGATTCAAAGTTTTTGGAAGTGTAGAAATTTTCTTTGCTTTGTGTATGTTCTATGCAAATTAATATTTTGGCGAATATAATTATGGAGAAGTGGGAATGAGACTGAATTGAAATTTGTTTCGTTCGTTTCGGAATGTGTGTGTTTCGTATATTTTTATATGTTTAAATTCTTTATGAATTTGACAGGAGAAGATTTGGTGTCTATTTATTTGTGTCTCTGACAGTATTTAAGATAATACATTTCATCATTTTGATATATATAAAAAAAAGAATACAAAATATATTTGAAAAATATAAAACTAAGATCGAAAGTGAATAGAATAATTGATTGAGAAACGAAAAATTAACTAAATTTTCCATCCATAATTTAATGAAATATTTGTAATTAATGTTACAAAGATATATTTCTTATATACTTTTAAAAATAATCTTTACACAATCTTCATGATAAACGCGTTTCAGCACAAAAAAAAAAAAGAAAAAAGTAATTAAAATTAAATAATGTTCACATTCATGCTCAAACGAACTGATAAAACTATTTTAACCTCTAGCACAATGTGTCCAATTGTGCGTTACATCGAGTTCAAAATGTACTGGAACACTCTGTACTGAAGGAACGATCCACCAGTTATCGGTACGAGTGCAATTTCCTGTGGTCACGAATCGGTTATCTTATCACG